TGGCGCCTCATTCCCTTAGGATCACCCATTCCCTTTTAGATCCTCGAAATGATTTCCCCATTGTTTCCAAACGGGTACCCATTTCAGGTTATTGCACAAACCAGAAACTAAACCTCTTGTGGCACTCCAAAGGCCTTAACCGTTTTATTATGTCCTAAGTTTCTGAAGACCTTGCCCACTTCCATAAAAACTTATCCCAGAAAAAAAAGTGAGCCTTTCAGGTGCTGCAAGACTGTTTCATTCGTAGTTATCGTATGTTTCCCCCGATGATATAAGGTCATTAAAAACAAGGGAGAGGTGTAATAACGAAGGGGTTAAATAAGAACCTGACTGCTGACTGAGATAAAAAGGAAGAAGCTTCTTTCTCATCGAATAAATCTAACTATATTCCCCGATATATGCGTCTCCTTCCCCTACCCGGCGTCCCCCCCCCCCAGATGATTTGGCCGTCTGGGGCTAATGTGAGACCCGGGCAACCATCAGGCTGGGGAAGACTGATATAATAAAATATTATATTATAATATAATGTATATTTGTAGAAAAAAGGAGCGGGAAGAGCGCACTGCGCCTGCGTGGCCAAAAGAGCTCCGGCTGAGGTAAGGACGCCCGCCCACCCGAACGCCCTGCCTGGCTAGTCCCGAGAGCCCGCGCTAGGTGGCGCCGCAGCGAGAGGCCTTCCTGGAACGGCTGGGACGGAGGAGCTGGCACAGGCCGCATTACGGGTGAGTGGCGTGGGAGAGCCGGAGCCGGAGAAGGGGCGGTTCAGGCGAGGAGGTGCTGATCCAAGGGAGTTGATGGGCGGCTTCTCTGAGGGCCAGGTGGGAAGAAGGTGGGTTGGGAACGTAGTGAGGAGCGAGCCCAGCCAGCGGACAGAGGCTCGGCTGCAGGGGGAGGAATAGGGGAGGGCCCCGCACGCTCTCTGCCCCGCAGATTTGTTGTAACGGTGGAACCGGAGCTGGCCTTTATTGTTCTCCGTGACAAGGCCAGAAATGGTTGCACCATACCACATCTTGTTTCCCAATGTCGTTGGAGTAGTTCTGGAATCGATGGGATTTCTAAGGCCCATGGATTAAAACACCCATCTGCTGCCTCGAACTGTGACTAAGTCTGGAGCCAACCTCACATTATAAAGTCCTTTAAAAAAAAATCGGCTCTGCTTTTGCAGATTTGCACTTTTGTCGAAAATTCTTCGTGGATGGCCGCAATCATCGTTGATTAATAATAACAGTAGTTCTCTCTAGGACATAATACCCTTTAATTGTCCTGACGAAAGTGTAAGGGCAGGTGAAAGGGAATAACAAAATTGACCTCATTGGGACCATTCTGCACATGACATGAAAGTAAAATGCCGATTTATTATTGATTCTACAACTTCATTGTACTCCTAACAGGAAGCTGCAGTTAATGAGACTGTTGTATAATGTAGAGTATTTCACTTACATAGGGGTGGTGTTAACAGTAAGCATGGGGGGGGGTACTTGCCTAAGGCCTGCACCCCGGGGGGGGGTCACTGGCAAAAGTCCCCTGCAGGTTATTCTCCACCTCATCTTTTCAATGTGCTCATTCCCCTGGCTCTTATGTGAGAGAAGCTGAAGATGCTCCTGCTCCCTTGCTCATCAGCTCTCCACAACTGGTAGCAATAGGGAGCAAGAGCAGCTGATGGCAGTGATGGTGAGCAGATAGATTCAGGAAGAGTACCAGTAGTGGGTGCCTTACCCAAGGCCCCTCTAAAATCTGGAGCTGGTACCATACTTCTCTAAGGTTTTTTAGCTGTACATTTAAAATATAACAGATGAAGTGATTGTTAAGGTTTGGTGAGTTGCTGCTTAGACCAAAACCAATGAGCAATTCTTAAACATGAACTCAAGAGTCACTGAGGTGTCCTGGCTGGAGTAGCACTTTTAGATGTGGGAAATTCTCTTAAATGAGGTAGGAGTTGACTGGAGAGGGGGCCAGTTCAGTTTTGGGATCCCTGAATATGGATTATCCTCCCCAGGAATGTTTATCTGGTACCAGATGTAATAAAACCCTTGTTATTTACTCAGCTTTCCATGCCCTCTAAGCTGATTTTAGTCTGATAGTCTTTTTCAATGTAGTTGCTTTTGCTTTTTAATTATAACTTTTGTGAACTGCCCTGTAAGTCTTGTTAAATTGGGATGTAGCACTAATATATTTTTAATAAATAATAGTATTTTTGTCTATTAATAAATTGATTTTGGGGCAGTATTTATGAGATTTTGATTCCTAGATGACAAAGCCATAGTAAGCCACATGCCTTGCATGCAAAGGTCCCCAACACCCCCAATTATGGCTGGGAAGGACTTTCTGAAATTCTGGAGAACTGTGGCCAATCAGTATAGAAACAGTGAGGAACATGTGGCCTTCTGGATATTGTCAGATTCTCATCAGCATTAATCAGCCCCAGCAACATCTAGAGGACCAGATGTTATCTATCCCTGGTATAGACAATAGTCGGGCCAATAGTATGACTTGGTATAAGGCAGTTTTCTGTTTTGATGGCTGCTGAGAAAGGGAGCCTGACCTAACATGATTCTGCAAAATGAACTTCAGCATAATGGCCCACATAATCATTCAGCACTCTAGACCTTGACACAGTAAAACAGTTGAGAAGATTATGATCTGAAATACTGGGAGGGATTGCGTTACCATATTTTTACTACCCCAACCCTATATATTCTTGTAGGGAAGGAAAATGCAAAGTGCAGCTTTGCATCACAGTGGTATCTGAAATGTGGTCTCTCAAATGTTGTGTGTTATTCATTTAAAAGCATGTTTAAGTAAGAGTTCCACTGTTCCCCTCTTGATTCATTTTCATAAATGCCACTTGTCCAATAGGTGGAGTATGATTCTCATGTCATTCCCTTCATTTCAGAAATGTGGCTTTCTGCTGTATAAGCTTTTAGTGGTGGGTCAATATTCATAAATGCCTTTGGTTTCCTCTGTACTCTATATGGTGAAGCTCTTGATAACACAACAGTTGCTTTAGCTTAATAGCTATCATGATTTTTTCTTCATACAGCAGTATCTTAACAAACACAAATAATATACAAAAAGTTCAAAAATAAGATTTGGACACTTAAATCATATGACTTTTTACCAGGTCTGCAATGATTTCTGGGTGATCATGTGCACTCCCTGAAGTTGCTGCTGAGTATTATAATCTCTTTTGTAAAACTAGTGCAACAATATTTGTTCATATACAGTAGTGGTGGGGCACATTTGGCTCTCTAAAACAGTTGAACTGCAACTCCTATCAGCCCTAGCAAGCATGGTCAGCCATGTACAGGGTTCACTCCAGGTTTTTATGGGTCACTCTGCAAATATCTTGCTCTTTCCTACACATTTCTGTTTTAATTGTACAAGTTGCTGTATACCTGGATGGCTTTTTACAGATAAAGAAATGACAGTAATAGAGAGAGAGAATATACTTCACCTGATTACCAAGCCTACTGTCTTCTAAGCAACAAGTTAGCAGGGAAGAAGATAGATTGAGAAATGATCCAAGTCCAAGTGTTGTCTATGGCAGTCCTATTTATTGGCTCAGGTTATCTCCTTTCGTTATGCATCACTGTGTTTTCATTAGCTTGTTACTTCAAGCTATGGTCATGAATTTCTTTTTGTTGTTATTTTAATGGCTTGGTCTTCATAGCCTTGCATTTCTGTGTGGTGCTTTGTGTTTTTCAAAGTGTGGTATAAAGAACTTGCATCCCAGTTAGTGATATTTTTAACTAGACCTAGAATAGTTATGATCCAGACAAGAATATTTTAAAGTAATTTCTATAATCCACTTGAGAGAAATTTCTGCAGGCATATACTTGGCCTGCATACTTTTAATCCATAAGAGAGTTTTCATTATGAAGCATGTTTAACATTAATATACACAGCAGTCTTTCTGCTAAATGAAAACATATTTTCTTAGGAGTTGGCGACTGTGCTGATATTAGCTTGGAAGAGAATAACAAGAAATATAGATTAAACATAATAATTTTGCATGTCACCTTAAAAACAAAACCAAAGATAGACTGCTTACATTCCTCATCCTCCATTTTCAGTCAATTAAAATCATGAAAACTTCATCATGAAAATCATATATAAAGAAAGAGTTGTATTCCTGGAATGAATATCAGCCAAAAACATCCATAAATGTAGTTTTGGATTTTCATATTTAGAGAAAATAAATAAAAGTAGAAAAGCATCAGCAGAACTGTATTGGTTTCTGGGGAACATGTAAAGTATACCAGTAATTTCGTCCATGTTAAGGTGACCTGGAAAAAAATGTGTAATGATACTTAAATTCAACTGGAATAGTGTTACTAAGATCCAGGGTACTATAAGTAGAATGCCTGAGTATAAGCACAATTATAGTCACTGGAGCTACCCTGATGTTCCCATCCCTTTGTATCTTTCCTGTTGAGATGACAAAATGCTGATTCCTCTTTCCAATGAATACAAGACATTGGACTGTAGCCTCATGTACCCCTTATGTCATTAGGTAATGTTTGCACTACTCTCTTCTAGTGTCTTATGCTATGGCGGGATCCATTCCCTGATCCTACAAAATAATCCATAATTTCATACTGCAATAGTGTCTAGTCTGCTCCCTTCCCCTTACGTTTAGTGTGGATAGTTGGTGAGTAGATTCTGCTGAGTGATCTATTTTTGAGCTAGCAACATTGAACAGACTTTATATTTGGAACAAAAGCTAATTTGATATTTGAGAACTCTTATTCTATTCGTATTCCTATCAAAATATTTTGGGACCACCATGTATCTTTAGAAGATCTTTTAAAGTTAAGATGTGGCTGTTTTCCTTTGCTTTACAGTTAGAAAATGAGCGACAGTGATGATGATGTCCCCCAGCTTTCGACTGAAGCCTTAGCTGCTCTACAGGAATTCTATATTGAACAACAGCAAAAAGAAGATGTTAAAACAGGTGGAAAATATTTTGGATCAATAGAAGAGAACTGGGTAAGCAGGTGCACTTTGACTTGAATACAGTTAATGATAATGTCCATGTACAGTGATAGAGGATTATGAGTATGCTGTAGAAAATGCTGAGAAGAGATCCACCCAACAAGACTGTCCAGAGTGGGAAAGGTAGCATGAATACCTGGAGCTTCCATGAATGAAACAACAGGGAATCTTTTTACTTGGATTCTGACTCTGATTTATCTTAACATATTGGAAAATAGAACAATGCCTGCTAGTACAGACCATGTAAATGTTGTGGAAACAACAGAAGCACTGTCTTCTACACTGGTAGGTGTGTCTTTTTTACATGTATCTTCAGCATTGCTTACTATTCCTATACCTATTTCTAATGGTAAAATCCCAGTTTGGGAAGCTGGAAAGGGCATTATTTTTGCTTAAGATATATAAATACAGCCCAAATTCTGAGTTAAAATTAAGCTTGTTTTGGTTTATTCAACCTAACACATACTGTTTTATGACTAGGTATGAGTTGGATGGGATGGGACCAAGAGAAGAGCCAGAAAAATCTTAGTTGTATCTGTTAATCTCAGTGTGATACACAAAATCCTGTTCTCCTTTTTTATTTCTCCACCAATACTACAATTGTTTCCATTCTATTTCTTTGCCAATTTCTCTTGGATTATCTGGAGTTTGGACAGCTATATAATTGGTTAATATATTTCTAACCTAATTTAAATACTAGGTACAAAGTCTGAATTAAGAATATTATTCATCAGGTGTGCCCACCACCACCAGTTATTTGTTAAAAAGTAAAATCTAATATGAATATATGAATTCTGTTTGTGTTGACTTTATTTTTACTTGTAGACATCTAACAATAAGTTTGTTAGCATTTTGGTAAGAACATCTGTTATTAGATGGAAATACAGAATTTAAGGTGGAAGCTTTAGACAGAAAAAATGTCCTACAGCTCTTTGAGTCCCCTGTCAGTGCTGGCAAATGTAGGACTTTTTCTGTCTAAACCTGCATAGGAATTAGAAAAAGTTTTTCAGAAGTAAGATTTCCTGGCTAACAAGTTGTTCAGCTTAACAACTGCTAGTAAAACAACTTGTTATGGCTGGGAAATAGAATTGCTTTCCCCTCCAATCCTGACTCTCATTGCTGCTTCCCTGTTTTTCCTCCCTCCTTGAGGCTTGCAATCAGCCATCTCTGGTATTGGCATTGCCTCAGGACTTCCACCTTGAAAATCTGCAACTTTTGTGTTTCTTTTCTCCATGTTCTACTTTTTTCTGCATTTCTTTTACTGGGGGACAATGGTGTAAAAATGAGATCAAGACTACTGAATACTTTTGTCCATATGTAATGACAAACTCCATTTCACTTAGTTTCATGTTTTACTCCATTTCTCTTGTTAAGCAGAAGCTAAGTATTACATAATGTATAAGAGAAGGATATCTCTGAAAGTGTTTGTGCTTTATCATCCCCAGCAACTCAGCCAGTTTTGGTACGATACTGAAACTGCACTCCGTTTAGCCAATGAGGCTGTAAGAGCAGCTGGAAGAAATGGCAAGTAAGTTGTACTGATTTTATAGACCCGGCATTATGTAAATACTGGAAACATGCTCTTTCATAATTCCTTCAAAGTATATTAATATATTAACACTTGGGTATATGGAGTTACAGTACAGAATTCACTGTGAGATCATATGGTTAAAGCACAGGACAGTCAAATAGGAGGCATGAATCACTGAGATACTACTGGTCTTCATAATTTTTATATTGCATATAATGTGCAAAGAGGTCTACAGTGTTTGTCATCTTCACGATAACTTAGCTGAGAGGGAGGAAGCAATTTCCATTTTTAGGCAAGGGCCTAAAGCAGAGAATTCCCAGAGACCATTAACTGAGCTTAGGTTCTGTACAAATATTCTCACCTTCCATGGTCTGAGCGTAATTTAACAAATGATGCTAAGAACTTCTTTTCATTTTTGAGGTTCTTTTACTTTTAATATGACATGATGTGCAAAAATATATAAAGTTCTTTAGATTTTAGCTGAAATCCCTGCTTAGTTTGAACTACTTGAAGAACAAGTTTTTTTTCTGGTTCCTGTGATCTGCCATGCACAGGAAGTTTAAGATGTACATTACTAGCAATTTGTGCTATACAGAAGCACAGCACTTGAGTTCTCTTCTTAGGGATGGTGTGAAGGAACAGTGTTTCTAAGAGCATGATAATGTATTTGTACATTGGGAATAATAAACAGCAGAGATGTATTTTTACATTGGGAATAAAACAAAAAATCATGCTCAAACCATACAGTGCTTGGTCCTGTTACAGCGTGGATGTTACTACTTTTACACGAGAGGAATATTCTGCTAGAGTATGAATGTTTTGTTTTTTGAGTGGCAAGTTGCTTGCTTCTTAGTAATTTTTTTTACAGTTGTGTAATTACTGAGAAAAAGTGATCTTCAAGCTGTCAACATATTTAAGTATTTATATTCAGGATTAAATGCTTTGCAACTATATTATCTGATTTGTTGTTCTTCCTTTTCTTTGCAGGATAGCATGTGTTAGTGCTCCCAGCATTTATCAAAAATTGAAAGAACTGAATTACAAAGATTTTTCAGCATGTGTATTGGAATATGATCAAAGATTTTCTGTACATGGCACTGATTATGTTTTCTATGATTATAAAAATCCTTTGAATCTTCCGGCCAACCTTGCAGCACACAGTTTTGATATAGTCCTAGCAGATCCACCGTACCTGTCTGAAGAATGTCTCAGGAAAACTGCTGAAACTATAAAATACCTAACTAAAGGAAAGATTCTGCTTTGTACAGGTATAACATTTCCTTCCTTAACCACTTTTAAGAATTGGGACCACATCAACTCATAAAATTCCCTATCTATATTATTACAGACTCTGCATTCATTTAAAATAAGTTTCCGATAAGTGTGTACAGTATCTTGATAAAAGTGATTTTATTGGGATGTTTTGATGCTATTTCTCTGACCACCAGAGGGCTCTTCAGTGACAGCAGCATATTTGTGTAATTGCTTCTCTCTCCAGTTAAGTATGTAAGTGGGGAAAGGACACACAATCAAAAATGACAGAGGAAGGTGACATTAAAGGGAGTTCAGGGGCATAACTGGGAGGCATAAACCTTGGAAATAAGGAGGAAAGATTCAGAAGAATAACATGAATGCATAAGAAAGTTTTAGGAAGATAACTGATTGTGGAAACATGTTGAAGTAATTGAAGGATTTTGAGAAAAGATGCCAAGAATAGGGCAGTTTCCAAGACTTCATTGGTGGAAAGTGTTGGGCATTTAGAAATTTACCAAAAAGCAATTTATATAGCAGTTGCATGGTGTAACAGCTGTTACCTTATGCAGTGCCTCATATGCATCCATAGCAAAACATGCTGCGTTTTAACAAAATTAAAAATACTTATGTTTAACATGTGGAATATCAGAAGTTTTGTTTTGAAAAAGTTCATTCTTGACATGCATTAAGTAAGTCGAAAATAAGAAGTGTGGGAATCAGTACCTGGATATGGTGAGGTGGAGTAATAGTTACCATTCAAGCCAAAATGTTGATCCTTCCCTGTGAGGCTGTAGAACTTGTATACAGGCTTCAGTTTCCTGTATCTGACATGTGGACACGAGGAGAAATCAATACTGTCTTTGGATAGGCAACATATGATTTGTGAAGGCTGTATGTGCCTTCAAGACCAAGATGCATACAGACACCCAGACATGATGTTCTCTCAGTCGTAAGTCTGAGTGTACTCTTTGCTTTGTTGAAGGCATACTCTGCAAAGTTACACTTCACTTCAGAGCATTTGTTAGAGAAGAATACACTTAAATAATTTTTTTAAAAAATAAACTTCTACCCTTTACAGACCCCTCCCTCCTTTTTTTATGGTTTGGAAATAAATCAACTGTCCCATTGATTTAAGTGCTGCACAAGTAGCAGAGGACTTTTGTGTGTGGTCAGAGGATGCTAGGGTGGGGGGAATGGAGTCCTAGACAAGTTGTTAAAAATAGAGTTGCGTTATTCCATTGTCTTGTCTTGATAAATAAAATCTCATTCAGAGGCAGTGTACCTTTAGATACCAGTTGCTGGCGGGTGGCAGGGAAGGGCTTGAGCTTTCATGCCCTGCTTATGAGTTTCTTAGAAGTCACATTTGGAAACAGGATACTGATCCTGCTGAATATTTGGCTCTTCTTAGTGTTTTGGTTGCCAGTACTCATGTTTTTTTATTTTTTTAAATTTTGCTTCAGGTTCAGTCATGGAGGAATATGCTGCAAAGTTTCTTGGAGTGAAGATGTGCAAGTTTATTCCGAAACATACTCGAAACTTAGCTAATGAATTTCGTTGCTATACAAATTATGATTCTGGGCTAGATTTTGATTGTGTTTCTTGATAACACCCATAAAAATCAGGAAAATATTTTGGTTGGGGCTGTTTTTCTTGTTCTGGTGATGTGAACATTACTTTTTTTAGATAGTTTATTTTTGTGTATAATACCCAACAGGCAATTTGGGCTAAAAGAATTCAGGAGATTTTTGACATAATTTTGTCTGTCATAAAATGTGGTTTGCCACTTGCTACAGTGTATAGAACTACTGAGCCTTTCTAAAAAGACTGGTCTGGTCATTTATGAACATAACAGTTGCATTATAAAATGGTAGAGAAAGTCTACTATTTTACAGTATAGCTGCTTTTACAATCTTTATTTAGTTTTCATTGGTAGTCATGGCCTGCTCCTGATGGGTTATTAGGCGTGAAGGAGATATAGAATACAGGGTGGCCTTGCTGCCCCCTTTACTCTTTTCCCTGCCCACACCGAGCTTGCAGCCTGGTCCTGACTAGACAAGGCAATCTGAAGTAGAGTAGAGGGCTCCTTCACCCTAAAAAATTCCCAGAGTTCCTGTGGCCGGGTAAAGAGCAGACTCCATGGTCTGCTGAGCATGATAGGGTTGGAGTAAATGCCATAAGCTCACCACCACCCAAGCTAGCCTCCTTTTAAAAATATTTTAATCATGTTGTACAACCTAGCGTTCTCAGACAGCCAAATGAGGCAGTTGCAGCCACAAATTTAATTTGTACAGAGTGCTGAAAGAGTTTTTTTTAACCAACCCACACCCCTAAATAATTATCTTTTTCAGAGCACAGCACTCTTAAAAAAAAACACCAAGTGAGGCTGCTTCAACCACAGTCTCAATTTCTCCAGAATGCCTTGGCCCTCATGCAGGACTCAGGAGCATTCTGGGAAAGTTACAGGTCATGGTAGCTGCTGCCTATCTGGTGCTTCTCTTTGGAATGCCAAGCTCTCTGTTGCTGCAAGTTCTTTGTGCTGCTCACTATGCTTGTGCTGCTACCCCACCACCTCTTAGCAAGCTTGCAGGGGACTCACTAGGCCAGTCTTATCTAGGTTACCCTTAAACCTGGTGCTGGTGCCATAAAGCACTAAAAGCTGAATTTTGATCTGGTTTCTGCACTATATCTGTTGCATCACACTACCCTAATTCACTTGTTCTCTGTTTCAAAGCTTGACAGCTTTCAAAGCTTGGTACTGATCAAAATTCACTTTCTAAACTTTGTCATTTTGAGTAAAGATGGCACTTAACTCATGTTTCTGTGAATTAATTATATAAATGACAGAACTAACATTTGCCTTATCCTCATCACCTAAAATATGTTCTCTTGATATAGTACATTTTAAAATATTTCAGTTTAGAGATGTACTTTATCCCTGAAGTGCTTCCTTAATTTAACACATTTAGAAATGTGCTATCGTTTCAGCATGTTTGAAAATTTCAAACATTTTTCTGCTTGAGTCGTATAATAAGATACGCTTTTTTCATTATGAATTGCCACCTTGTAATTTAGATCTGTGATAAATTATTGCTATGCTTAAAGAGGAAAAGTATGTTTTATTAAGTTGTTAAAATGTTGCACAGAAATTAGAGACTGTACTGTGCAAATGCTATGTCACAGGTTGTTTTTTTAAATACTTTAATAGGTTATTAGGCTGACACATTAATTTTCCAGATGTATTATAAACCTGATTTTCTCATGTGGCTAGGTAGCAAAATATTTATTTCCTAATTAGGATGAGTGTGGCCCTCCTCAAATATCCAGCACGTGTCTTGCAGTATTTTACCCTACAAAATAGGAGCTAATTAAATTTTCGTTTGGACTGGGCACAGGCCATTAAGTGCTGTTTGTGCTATGTTCATTTCATAGGGACTCATTCAGTTACTCTGCTTATGAACTTTTCTAAAGGAAAGTTGAAATTCTATGCACAGTATTTATTTCCTTTTGTTAAGCCTGATTACTATATCTGCGGTAAGTTTCACTTAATGAATTATGTGACAGGTTGATCATAAATTAATATTTATATTTACCCTTTTAGTGTCTACTGCTATCCAAATATTCAATTCAGATTGAATTTTCTGCTTAAAACGTTTGGTTCCATCCAATATCACAGAAGCATGCTTCTCCTCTGCATTTGTTCCAGAGTTGCCCTACTCTGTGTCATACACTCAGCGGGCTGCACAGAGGAGCCGTGCTGTCTGTTCTATTGGCAGACATGATTGGATTTCACTTTATGTTGTGCTTATTGGAACAAATACCCATTATTCTTTGTGGATACAATACTGAAGCATTGAAAATTGAATAGCAGAACTCAGTGGTGCTTTTCACTGTACATTTGAATGCATACGATGCCCAATTTGTTACGTTTCTCTAATATTTTGTATAAAACATGGTTCCTCTTCTGGCATTTATAAACAGAATGAGGGGAGGGGTAGGAATTGTTTCCACATTTGTTTGTGTGGAGAACTTGTCTCACACAGCAGATGTGAGATCAGATCTCCTATGTTAGCTGCCATTCACTTTTGTGACCAGATGCCAAAGAGAATGGCTACTTAATATAACTTTCACTACCCAAGGGATGGGGCAGGTTTGGCCTGAAAATGGCTTGCAGGGCTACCCCATCTAGCCTGCCGGCTGCTTCTCCAGCCCTCTCTGTTCTCCAGCAGGGAAAGATTTTAGTGCATCTTATATCCTTCTTACCTCACTGTTCACAATTGCCTCCTCAACCATGAGTATGATGGTAACTCAGGATAACACTTAGTACTTGAAGAAGTGAATTGTATTCAGCTGAATGTTTCTCATGATTAGTTAAGGTGTCTTAAGTTCCCCTATTTTAATATCAAAGCATTGCTCCAGTCAAACATGCATGCTCGATACTTTTTAGTAAAAACAGTGCCCTGGCTCAGTCCAACACTTGACTCCCTCAAAGACTGAAGAGAGCTTTTCACTGAGGCTCCCCAGCTTCATCCCTGCCGCTGTCTTGTAAGAAAAGATGAACAGAAGTTGAGGCTGAGCTCCTCCATTGTTTGAACCAAACAAATAGAAACAAAAGAGGTACTGTTTCCAGCCTTTTTGATTCTACTTCTAGTCCAACTTTTAGAAGTTATTCTCATTCTCCAACTTGCCCAGCAGTCTTCTGTAATCCTTCAAGATAAAATCTCACGTTCCCTACAGGACTTTAGCCTTGATTTGTCCTGTGTCTGTTTTTTAAAGCAGTTGGAGCAAGGGGACTTGAAGTTGAACGCTCCAAATAGTTAGGCAACCTTTCATGTCAACACTTAGCATTACTATAGCATCTCAACTGCTCAGCATAGCAGCCGTGAAGGATACATTGTGCAGGTGACAGACATCTGTGCTTTGACTTCACCGAAGGGTTTTAAAATTTAACATGAACTATATTCTGAAATTAGAGAGCAGGAGAACATTGGATGCATATGCCTTGGCATAAAACCTTTAGTATTTGAGTCTGTTTTGTGTTCAGTATCTCAAAACCCCAGACTGAGACCATATATTGCCTATTCTTTGAAATCTTGCCCTTACTTAAGGCGCCAAGTACTCTGCTCTTTAGGTGGAACAGGTTTCTGTGAATAATAGATCAATCCTGCATGCAAATTCATTTGCTATCCCCACCTCCACAACGTATTTCTGGCTTGTTCTTGCATTGTTTTGCAGTGCATTATATGCACTTCCTGCAGTATATGCACTCATAGACAAATTCAAAATGTGAACCCAGGTGGTCACAGATATGTCCAAACAGCAAGTCCCCAATATTATTTGTACATTTTCCAGTGTTGAAGGTGAAGAATAGCTTGAAGGGAAGAAAATGAAAGCAGGGACCCACATGACAACTGGAGGGCAATGACAAACAAACTCATCCACAGAATTCAACATGAAGAACAAGTCATGGCAGAATCCAGCATCCCCACCCTGAGCTCTGACTGTGGGCCAACAACCACAGCCAACATTTCGAAACCTTTCTGTGCTCCTTGGAAGCTTTTAAAAGCTCTCTTTAAAAGCATGCCCCTTCCCTGAAGTTCCTTTGAAACTCCCACTGCTACCCATCATTCCCTAAAGTGGTTGGAAGACCTGGAAACTCTCAAGATGTTGCTGAGGTACAACTCCTTACATCACTGACATGGTCACCTGGGCCAAAGTGTAGTCAACATTGAGAGTGGCATGGCATAGTTGCATAAAATGTGCAACTACAGGTAAAGTGTTGGCTGTATTCCACTCTACACTTAGGATATTGTAGTTCACAGAAAAATTATAAGAGTCAGAACTCTGATGTGTGCTTTATAAATGCCATAAAGAAGTTACAAACATCTGAATGCTTGATGCTAGATATTATTGTGTGAGGTTGTTGGAAGTGTTGTAAAATTCTCCATGTCAGTTCTATAACACTCTGTCAGACTATGTTCAATACTCTGGAGAATGACTCCATTATTTACACCACCAGCATATTTTAGGGTGAACCTTTTCAAAGGAAAACATCCTGGCATGAAATAAAAAAATCTCAAAATATGTGCAGTGGCCAGAGAGTGCTTGCTTTGAATTGCTTTTGCAAAGTAGGGCTAGATTGGGTTCAAGAAGGTATTTCCTCCCTGAAAAATAAGGACCACTTGAGAGCTTTTCAGTAACTCTTGCAAACATTCCCTCTTTTTCTGTACTAATGTGCATACTAATGTTTAGTATGCAGGGATGCTGCAGGGGTCTGTGCTCTTGAGGCTGTGAAGTAATCTAAAAGGAATGTTCAGTTGGAAGAGTCACAGCTTGGTCTATCAGGTACAGAAAGGCATCACATTCATCAGTTGGCGCATTTTCCAGAAACGGTATGTATGAAAGGTTTGACTTTGACTTGACTTTCAAGTTTAGGGCACTCAAAAATGCAGTGGAGACCAGCGCTCCAGTAGAGATGTTTCTGAAGTCTCTACATTGCTCCCTGAACTTGGAGTTCTGAATTAACTAGTTTTATTTCCAAGCTGGAACCAGTGTATTATCAGTTCATTATTATTTTATTTATTTCCTTATTTTGTACAGAGGAACATAAGAACAAGCAGTCTTATACCAGAGCCTACAAATTGTCCATCTAGCCCAGTAAGACTCAAGCAGTAGATCTTGGGAGTTTCAAGCAGAGGGTCCTTCACACCTCTTGAAACCTGCAAGCAAAGCATGGGCTGTACCTGACACATGGCTGCCAAAACTAGATATCTCCATCAAAAGAAAATGGACTTCCCCATTATCAAAGAGCTGCTAGGGAGGCTTTCCTAAATTTTATCTGAAATTGGCTTCTCTGCAGTTTCCTCACATTAGCTTGACTCTTGCCCTCTGCAGCAACAGAGAACAAATACGCTTTGTCTTCTCCATGACTGTTCTTCAGTCTTCTCTGCCCTAGGTGAAATAAATCTAGTTCTTCCAATCATTGCTCACAGAACGTGGGTGCTCAGGCTCTTTACTCTCTTGATTGCCCCCCCCCCCCCCCGGGCATGCTCAAGTTTGACACGATCCCCTTAAAACAGGAGAAAGCTGCACGTGTTGGAATTTGCCTCATTCTCTTTGGCACCTGGTCACAAAAGTTAATGGGAGCTAAAGTAGAGGATCTGAGCTCAGTTCTTCTGTGTGACAAAGTTCTCCATGGAAACAAATGCGGAAACCATCTGCCCTGTATCTGTTCTATAAAGAAAAATGAATGACACAGTGCTTTGAGATTCCCCTCTTGTTTGTTAATATTGATCATTTCGAAAACGTCTGCCACCACTTCTAGGAAAACTCTAACAATCAGACACCACACAAGATGGCTAGGTTGGAAAATGAGCAGTTAAGGAATGTTTATATAGGAGGATACTTACAATGTTGAAAGATGTGGAGAAAAAGAGTTCTAGGTGAATTAACCCTGCAACCAGAGCCAGCTCACTGAAATTTCAAGAGGCACCAGCAGAGGCCTCCAGCAGACACGGAAATTTACTAAACTTTTGCTAGTCAAACTTTTGGCTCATGCATTCTTCTAACTTGGCAGTTGCTCTGCTCTCACCAGTGGTTGCCAAGGCACATTTATTCCAATTTGTTTGAACTGGCCAAGCAATTTCGCTTCATTTTATCCAATCTCTGTTCATCCTTGTTATTCCCAAAGGCTCTTACAGCCAAAAACAATCTAAACCTGATAACAAGGCTTGTAAGCTGAAAGCTCAGATGGCTTAAAAGGCAACTGGCAGGTTTCCATACTTCTGAAAGGGTCATACGGCAGACTGTTCTGAAGGAATGTGTTTCCACACTGGTATGTGAATGTACATATATCATACAGTGCTGATACACACCCGCTAACTAGACAAGAGTTGCTCCGCTTAGGTTTGTGACCGGATACTTGCACAAATGAAGCTATTTTGCTACTACATCCGAAGATTTGAGCGGTTAATGTAAAATCTCAAAACCCCACTTAAGATCAGCAAGAATGTACTTCACTTCTATACCTGGTGCAAAGCAAACGGCTATGGTTTTTGTACTGTGGCACTGCTCTTTTTTTGAAGGAGTGTGATGATATTATATTCAACTCAATTATTTCTACCATGAGTCTGAAGTAATACTTAAAGCTGAGACAAAACTATGCAAAGGGTTTAAAGACCATACACATACTGGCAGCAGAGTCCAAACATGCCTCTGATTTTTCAGCACTCCTTGGAAAAATGTTTTCTTACTCATTTTCATTACCTTCAATTTTCCTTATTCTTGATGATCCTCATTTGCCATCAGTAATATCATTATGATAAATTTGCGTATACATGACTGCACTTGCTTCGTGTACCCTGGTATTTGCAATGCAAAGTATGAAGTGTACTTCATGGAGCTCAAAACAGTTTATCACAATGCAGTAGACTTGCAGCTAGAAGACTTTCCTTATGTATTCACTGCATGCCTTCAACCATTTGGAGAGGGCCATCTTCCCTATGTGTTGAAGTGCTGCAAGCACCAATGGGGACATCATAGTGGGCTTGCTATGCAAAGGATGACTTGGTCCTGCATTGCTACTTTATAAAGTTAGCGTGAACTATTCAAAATATAAACTGCAGTCCCAAACTTACCTGTTGGGGGAAAAAACCCCTCATGAACTCAGTCAAATAACAACAATGCTATTTACTGTTAACAACAGGGTATACAGGAAACACCCTGTTGGGACTTTGGAAAATACCCTTTCAAAAATTTAATTCCATCCCACTGAAAAAAGTAAAGAAATGTGCCCCCCCCCCCGCCCCCAGGCCTCAGTGAACTGGGAGGGCCAGGAAAAGGCTTTGCCCATCACCCTCTTCCCATGGCATGCCATAAATGCCCCAGAGAACTGCAGTGTTAGCTCCTAACCCACTGAATTCAATAGGACTTACTTCTCTGGAGACATGCAAAGGAATGCACTGCTACTCTTTTAACAGTGCAATCCTAGACATGTCCCCTTTAAAATAAGACCCCATGAGGCCCGTGACACTTGCTCTTGGATAAATGGGTTTAGGATTGCAACCTGTATGTTCCAGTTCCATTGAATTCAGTGGGTTGAGATTTGATTTGTTTTTCCTGGAATGCATTTTCTTCTTTGTATGTAAGAAGACTGTTCAGATTCTTAGGAAGCAAAAGAAATGGGCACATGTCAGAACCCTGATTATATTCCTTTATACTAAAAATAAACAATTTGTATTTTATTTAAAATATCAAGCTGTGGGGGAAAATGTATTAGATTCCTAAGATTAAAAGAATATGATCTGGAAGTCATATTTTAAAGCAATGGCGGCACTTTGTGACCTTCCAGATGTTGCTGAATTGCAGCTTTCATCAGCTCCAGAAAGCAGAGCCAATGATTCAAAGAACATCTAGAGGGCCACACGTGCCCCCCCCCCCCACACTGCCCACTGTCCTTCCCACAACTGCTACACTGGGGATGTGTGTGATTTTTCCAGTCCCTCTTAAAGCCCCAGCCTTTCAAGTAAGCCTCTGGAAGGGGAAGTCGCCTTTGGCACCCTGAACTTTGGAGTAAGCGCAGCATGACATGAGAGAACGCCCCCATGTTTTCCACATTGTAAGAATCAGCGGGGGGTGGGAGGGAATGTTTAGTGATGACCACAGATAATGGCTTTGCTTCTGAGCCAAGCCTAAAAGTGTGGATCCCTAAATCTGTCCTCTGGCACAAGCCTCATGTTTCCTAGGTCAGCTCTAAATCTGTAGGGCTACTGTCCAGGCAAGATTGCTTAATTTGGACAAGCCATAGCCAAGATTTTTCTCATTTCACGATGGTTTCAGGTGCCCTAGAACTCCATTCAACTTCTCTCTTCAACTAATATTTCCAAAGTATGCTTTTTCTTCTTCTATGAGCCAGTTCACAAATGCACAGGCCTCACTTGATTTCTAAATAATTTGACTCACTGCAGCCGAGTCTGTGATCCATGTGCACTGAAAGGACTCGTGTCTGAAATAGCATAATGGTCCTGGGTATGGTGGGTTTTCCGTAATGACTCTTGTAGACACACACAGGCTATTGCTTGAGGCTGATGTGTAAGCCAGGGAGTTGTGGAACTAAACAGCCATGCAAAGCAACCCTTGTCACCAGTACTGAGTTCTTCATTCTGAGGCTGGCTTGTCATTATTATGGTTTGCCAGCAATTTAACCGCTTGCTTGTCTATGCTGGAATTGATTCCCTCTGCCTCCTTCTCATGTTCTGGAATACAGGTGCAGCCAACAGGGATCGTGACATAATCTTCAGTGTAAACATAGCGGCCACCGGTGCAGGACGTGGTTCGACGCAAGATGACAGTCGGCATAAAGACTGGAGTACTCCGAAAATGGAGATTTTCCTCACCGTAAACACCAGTAAGGCAACCTTTGCACAGGCAATATGCTTCAGGAATATATTTTGGATACCTTGTAGGATCATAGGAGATTCTGTGCCAAAGGGAAAAAAATCTAGACTCAGTATGTGCATTCCATCCCCAGCGCTTCCCACCACCAGCACCTCCTTCTCCCAAGTTCCTTTAACCCAGCTGGAAAAGATTATAGCAAAATGTTGACAGTTGCTTTGCATTATATAATGTTTTGTTACTATGCCAGGAAAAAAAACAGCTGCAGTTCTCACAGTCAAGCTGCTTATTTGAAAGCTGGAAAGAAAGGAAAGAAAAACACTGGACAGCTCCCTAAGCTGATCAACCGCTGAAATAGGTGCAAGTTCAGTTTCCTCGTTAAGGATGCATTTGGTTCACTTCTCACAACACTGTCCCCAGGCGTCTGGCAAGTGCACAGTCCTCTTCCTGGGATTCTTAGCTGCAGATTGCATGAAGTGGAGATGCAGAGGAAACAGCCTTCTGCTGTGTCACACACAAGCCCATCTAGCCCATTATGGCCAACACTGACAGGTAAGCAGCACCTCGCAGGGTTCTTTCCTAGCCCTACCTGCAGAGTCTGCAGACTGAGCCTGGAACTTTCCTCATGCAAAGGCAGGGCTGCACCTTTGAGCTGTGGCCACTCATTCCCCGGCTCTGCTCCTCCACACAAACTTTGCACTTGATTGTGGTAGTCACTTTTCCCCCCTGATCCTGACCATGGGCTTTACCAGCAACCCGAGATGATTTTTCCAGTCACTCCATGCAAAAAAAGAAAAGAATTGGCTAAGCCTAGCCTACCTCACAAGGTTGTTGCTGACAGGCTAAAATGGGTCTATGTACGTTGTCTTGGGTTCCTCACAAGGGGAAAAATGTCTGGATAGAAATGCAATGTTATTAACAATAATAATAAACCTGCTCTAGCTATCCCCCAGTTGTGGGTTGCAAAGTTTGTCTTCCTGTGTGTTCTCAACCGGCTCTCTCTTCCTCGTCTGGAGCATCAGGTACCACCATGACTAGCAACAGAATGTAGACCATATAACGCTGTGCTCCTTCCAAAATGTCTCCGAATTTCAACGTGGGATAGAACTTCTCCCAGATCAGAGGGACCATATTTACTGCATTTCCAGTGATCAAGATAATAAAAGTGGCCCTGAATATGTTTTTAGAAGGGCGAGCGTTAAATGTTTAAAATAAAATGAAAACAAATAACCCACAGGGATCACCTTTGTTCTTCATAATAAAGAATAAGAAAAATAAGAAAAGACCTAAAATGAAAGAATGGAACAGACTCCCTTAGGTTTTGGCCCTGCCATCTGATTCTACTAGAAGAAACAATAATCCAAAATTATTAAGGATATTTTTTACAGTCTGTATTTCTAAGCCTGCAATTCTATTCATGTTGAGACAGAAAAAAGTTCCAGGACTATGTAACATAGGAATGCATGTTAAATTGTGGCAGTAAGTTTATTTTGTTTGCTGACACATCTCTGTTCAGAGCTAAGCTAACATATAAAGGACCCTGTGCTAATTCTGAATGCTGCCACCATGGCGCTCTAAGCACATTAAAGCAAAAGATGCACTCCGTCTCACTGACCCAACTCTCGGTCCTGGCCAGATCAGGTGGACCTGATCTGGAACTTGAAATCAGCTACCATGCTTTATTGAATGTGTTCCTCTGTTTCCTGTGGGCTACCATTTATTTTTATTTTATTTTAAATTAAATACATTATTTTATGACTTCTGGCAGAAGAGAAAAAGAAGGGAATATATGTTCCATTCTTTCACTTTAGCGTCATATTGTTTACAAAAACAAAAATCTTAATTAAAAGAACTCAAAGTATTAAAAGCATCAAGTATATCACACCGTAAAACCCCATGTTCTTTCTCTCTGATAAGAATGAATAGCTTCTACACTTAGGAATTAGCAGCCTGTGCAAAGTAGCACACAAGTTTCAATAAAACAATTCCCCTTCTCCAAGTTTTCCATGTTGACTCTGTCTCAGAGGTTATGATGTGCCTTCAAGCATGGGTCCTTAGCTTGAGGGCCAGTTTCCATACTGAAGATGCCCTTGGGTAGAGCCAAAATAATAAAAAAGCAAGCATCTTTTAACTAAAGTGCAAGGCAACCATATTTAAGCTGAGCATCTTCAATTCCCACCAAGAAATCCACTTTCCTTATTCTTGCTTCTCCATTTGAGCATCCTTTTTCTATCATGATAAGTGCATATTTTGGAACACCCACTCCAAGCATGCAATTCCTCCACAGGCTAAATACACAGATTTTAGGAGGAAATTTGAATTTTCAGAGATACACACTTGTGCAAATGCACACTTTCAAATGTGAACACAAGCACAGAAAATTACAGACATTTCCTGAAAACTGCATTCCAGCTTGCACTGACATTCTGGTTTGCAAAGTGAACATATTTCCATTAATTGAAAACAGACACATCTGTATGATTTGTTATAAGGGCCAAAATTCTAATTCCCTAATTAGCCTGAGGTTCCTCACTCCTGCCTTAGGGGTCTCTTACCAAGGAAAATGCCTTCTGAAAGCAGGCACTTTTAGAAGACAGATGAGGAAAAAGGCAACATGGAAAACCCCAATTCATGGTTCATTGTGGTATCTCTTTTACAATATAAAAAGCACACCTTCTCCTTCCGAAGAGTCTGTCTTGTTTTTAAGATCATTTGGAGATGCCTGCTTTCAAGACTGCCTCCTTCAGAGGGCCAGTTGATGGGGACCCCAAGAGGGCCTTTCCAGTGCCTGCTCCCAGGTGCCTCTACCCACCCCCTCCGATATCCCTCTGCCGGCTGCTTTATTCAAGAAAGCTTTTGGCCTGTATTGGGTCAGTTGGGTTGGGCACCATTTTTAATCCCGAACTGTCATTGCATTTTAATGTATCGTGTTAACCAATGTTAGCGGTCTCGGTAAGCTACCTCCTCTGCCATTTTTAGTAGAAAGGTGGATGCAAATCAGATAAATGATTTCCATGTAAGTCAGTTTCTCTTGCTAGAGAATCCACGATCTTAAATGAGACCAGAGGGAATATGGAAGGCCTGTCTTGGCACCTTTGTAGCTGGATCTTAGTGCAGATTCTGTAGGCCCCATTGCAACTCGAGGGACCACTGGCTTTATCTGAAGGCAAATGCTACTGCACCGTTACTTGCTCTGAGAAAGCAAGAAAGAAAAGAGGCAGCTTCACCGATCCTTTTACTCACTCCCTGTAAGATTACAAGGAAAGCCCTGCTGGATCGGGCCAAATGCCTTCTCCTGGTCCAGCATTCTGCTCACACAGTGCCTACCCTATGCCTGTTGGAAGTCCATAACCAGGACAGGAGTGCAGCAGCACCCTCTTGCCCATGTTCCCCAGCAGCTAGGGAAAATGGCAGACAGGTCTCCAAAACTGGAGGGAACATATAGCCATCCTGGCTGGGGGGCCACCGAACCCCTTATTGTCCAGGAGACACGGGCAACTTAAGCAGATCAACAGAACAGACAGGCCCCCACGCGATCACCTCAAACAAGGGCCTGGCTGCCTTAGCTAGGAGGCAAAAGTTAATCTGGAAAGCAAAAGGCAGCACTGCAAAGTCTTAAGAAGGCAAAGCAGAACAACCCAAGAAGAATCTCTTACCAGAAGCATTCTGCTCAGAGAAAGGAAAGCAAGGCAAGAGAAAGGAGGGAGCTGTGCATTACTCAGTAGCTGTGATGATAGGAATGCCACAAACTTAAACCTGACTTGTTGTAGCAGTGTCTGGGGAAGATGCTCCCTGCCCACGACTCAGAATGGAACCAGTTCTGTGCCCCTTTCCTTAGGAGCCTCTCTTATCAAGTCAAGCAACAGGAACGGCAGATTGAGCAGAGGACTGTGGGTGACAAGAGCTGGAGGAAACAGCTTCTGATCTTTGTTCCAGCTGCTTTTTCTCTCCAGCTGAGATTTGATTTTTTTTAATCTCTGAAGGAGAAACGCAGGCCCAGGAGAGGATAATTTTGAGCAGATGAATACCTGGAAAGAAACATGTTAAAGATTTCTCCTTTCCCTGTCCCCCACCTTGTTCTGTCTCAATTCACCAATTGCTGGAAAAAGATGTCCAGGTATGTGTCATTCTGGCCTAGGGGCTTCGAAGGAGTGTTTGCCAGCTCACAGGCGATCGGTGTCTTTTTGTAAATGTCCAGGTGGGAAAAGTTCTTTTAAGTAAGTGAAGGATTCTGACAACATTTCCTTTTCCAGAAGCTGCTGCTGCTTGGAAACTCACAGATAAATACAGAATGGAAGAAATTAGGTGGAAGTCCACACCAAGCCCTCCCGGTCTGTGCATTGCAGGTCAGGCTTGGCATGGAGTTCCAGTCCTGCATGGACGGCTGCTCTGGAAGTGACCTCTGGCCTCATATGGAACACAAAACTGGATCCGCTTTTCTGCAGCTCATGTCCATTAGCAGAAAGAACGTTACTGAGAGAGCTCACTTTTGGACACTCAAGTCTCCCATCCTCTAGGTGCAGAAATTGCCCCCTTTAAACATCAATAACATGGGACTGTGTGAGCTGTCTGCTCACTCAGGGAACTGCTAGTTTAACTATGTGTCACTGTTCAGTTGCTGATCGGATTGATTCTTTCATGAATGCTATGCAACAGTTAAAGTGATAACCCTGATTCATGGACGCAATATAATATTGACAAACAATACCAGAAGAGGGAGAAACGGGGGTATGGAGCCCTAGGCCTGGGGGTTAAATCCAGCCTCCCCGGAACCCCAGTCTTACCCTTCAGGGCTCCCTCGATGGGCATGCCCCTTTCCTCATGATAATTTATCATTTGTTGTTTTTCCAGCATTTGAGCAATTTCTCCCCATTTAAGAGACTGAAAGGCCTCACTGAAGTCTTGTTACTGATTAAAACAGCTGCAAGAGAAAACAGACGGGCACTTTTGGCACGTTTGCATTCAGTCAGTCACTGCTGAAAGAAATGAATGACATGGCCCTGCAAAGCCGCCCCTTCTGACAGTGGCTGTGCGTCTTCTTTTAGAGAGGACCCTCCTCTGTCCGAAGGTGTTCTCCATTTAAGG